ACATGCATATATTTTATACAGTCTTAGTGAGTATGTGCATACTATCTTGTATTCTCCTTCTGAATTTGAATGAAAATGCATATATAAAATACAGTGTATTTGTTTACATGGATAAATACATTAATATAGTGTATTAGTCTGTTTTCTATTGCTACTAACAAAGTACACAAACTGGCTAAGTTATAGATAAAGAAATGCATTTTGGCTCATGTTTCTGGTGCAAGGTTGATGGGCCACATCTGATGATGTCCTTTTTGTTGTCAGAACATCACATGGCAAGAGACATGGTGCTGGAATATGTTTATTTTCTGGTGAATCTCCCTCTTCTTATAAAATCACCAGTATTCAGTCATGTGGGCTAAACCCTGATGACCTTATCTAATTCAAATCACCTTCCAAAGACCTCACGATTAAACTCCAACAAGCCTTATTCATACCACACCATATAGTTTCAAATGAAATATCATGAAAATCTCCCTTATCTCACTTATTTCCCACCCCCATCAGCACCACTGTTAATACTTCTTTTTGTATACTAAGTTAATACATATGCATTGTTATCTCCATTTTACATTTATAGTATTATACATAGTTTTTAATATAAATACATATGAGTATTATATTGCACTATATATTATATACATTACTCTTTTAGATAACAGTATGTCTTGGAACTCTTTTTATGTCTATACATAGTTTTTTCATTCTCTTGTTAGTGCTACATGATATTGTCTTATATAGATTTATCATAGTTTAAACAGTCCTCCCTTGGTGAACATTAGGTACTTAGTCTTTTGCTGTTATAAACAGTGGTACAGACAATAACCATTTATATGTGTATAATTTCAAAGGTATATAAGTAAATCAATGGAGTATATTATCAGAAGGGGAATTCCTGGGCAGTATATCCAGTTTATGTAGGTAATTTTGATGGATGTTCCTGAATTTCCCTTCACAGATTATACAAATTAACAGTCCATTAGTTCTGACACACTGCCAATGAGTGTGTTTTTAAACTAGTGAAATTTTTCCGGCTTGATGAGTGAAAAGCAGTGTCTCAGTGTAGTTTTTATGGTGTTGAAGATAGAGCCTAGGGCCTTGTGTATACTAGGCAAGTGCTTTACCACTGAGCTATATACCTCCAGCCCTTCTTCAATATAGTTTTAATTTGCATTTTTCTATTGCAACTTAGATTAAGTATCTTTTCATAGTTTTCCAACTATGAAACATTTTTATTTTCCAACTTGCCTCACCTCTGTTTGTTATGTTTTACTAATATTTTTATGATTATCATTTTTAATATTTGCATACCAGTGTGTTATTTTATCATTGTTGATCTTTCTACAGTTAGACATTTGATGTTCTTTTATTTATTTTTAGGGGTGCTGGTGATTGAACCCAGAGCCTTTTACAGGAAAGATAGTTGCTTCAACACTGAGCTTTACCCTCTTGATTTCCTTTTAGAGTATGGTTGTTTATTTTGCTGAGAAGAGTTATTTAAAAGTTTTTTTCTGTATTTAGAGTAAAAAAATATAAGATCTATTGCAAGTTTTTGTATCAAGTAGCTATGAGTAAACTATTCACCTTACTTGGATCTTAATTCCTTCATCTATAAAGTAAGGATATTGAATTAGATGATTTGCTTGGTCTGTGACCCTTTGAAATTTTCCAAAAGCAGTATATTAAGCTTAATAGTCTTAACATATTAGATATTGAAATGCAGCAACGATATACTGTTACAACTTTCTAACAATCTTGTTCTAGAAGTTTTTTGTTGGATAGATGATGGTTTTCCCCACCCCCCACCCGTAACAAAATTATCCTACGGTTGCCTCCCTTGACAGTTCTTACTTAGAAATACCTTTGCATCTTTTTTCAATTCACATCAAAGGTATTTTTAAGAGGCATGCCTTTTTTTTGTGATGGAAGGAATTTGAGGAGAATGTGGGTGGTGGCTGGGTTATTAGGAAAGAAAAATACACTGCTTTTATTTAACCCATGTCATTAAATGTGCATGTTAATCTTCATTACTGCATAACTGCTGCAAATTGCCCTCTTCAATTTTCCAGACTCTGTTGGAAAGCCAATTTTCTTAAATCTCTCAGATTTAAGAGAAACTTAACACATTAACCAGTTCTTCACCACCGAGCTAGAAAGTAAATTATAATAGAGCCTGTTCTTAGAGGATTTTTATTTACTTGGCATCTGTGAAAATTCCACTAGATAAGATATTTAGAGCTATCTTTTGATATATTCTTTGAAATTAAAATCAGCAGCGAAAGGAGGTATAGACACTAACATTTGAATTACGACATCAGAATTTAAGTGGAATGTTAGTAAAACGCAGAACTTCTGAAGTTTGAAATCCCCTAGTGCCATAATACACAGAAATGGATTTTCAAAACTAACAGATCTTGACTATATGATATGATCTTAGTCCTTCTCTCCATGAAATAGATTAATTTTTATAATTGTGTTTCCCACCAGTAACTCCCGTAGTGTTTTTCATGAGAACATTAAAGAGATAAAAGAACCCTAAACTCATCTAAGTGATTTTTTTTTTTTTTTTTTGAAGTGGCATTGGGGCTCAAACTCAGGTCCTTGTGCAGGGCAGGCAATGCTCTGCTTCTGAGCTGCATCCTCAGCCCTAAGCAGTTCTTTCATTTGACCAACGGGTGCACTTTTCCACCAAAGAGGGGCGATGTGTTTTCTTGATGCACCAGTTGCCCAGTAGTAGAACTGAGACTGGACCTTAGGTTATCAGATTCTTAATCTATTTCTGTTTATGTCATACTGGTGTTGTTATTATTTTATTCTCTTACCCTCTTTTATCTTCTATGTCTTCTATGTGCTGCAATATTGATATGTGTTAGATACTGGTATCTGATTATGTTTTATTTGAAAAATTTTTGTTATCCTAATTAGGCATTCATCAGTATCTAATACCTAAAGTTATTTGTTGCCTTCTGTCTGTATCTACCATTTCCTGCTTAGCTCTCAGCCCTTGGTTCTTTGTATTTTTTTCTCCACACTATTGGTGAATAGATTAATCTTCTTTAAATAATATTTTGTCATATTTCTTTCCTATTTAAGAACTTGGGTGGCATCTTATTGATAATTTAAAAAAAAAAATCGCAGTTGAGTGCTGGAGGTGTGGTTCGAGAGGTAGAGCACCTGCCTAACAAGCATGAAGCTCTGAGTTCAAACCCCAGTGCCATCAAAAAAAAAACTCAGTTGATCATGCCTTACCTATTCGATCATATGCCTATCTGTTCTCCAGACCAGGTCAGATGTTATAAGCCCATCTCCCAGCTTTGTATTTTTTGCAATTAAAAACTTCCAATTTCCTTTCTTTCTGTAGTCAGTGATGAGTAATGTTTCCTCCAGATATGTATGTTTTACTTGTGCTCATTTTTACCGTAGCCAGAAGTAATGCTATTTATGTGGACATGTATGTAAATTTGGGGAATGTTAATTTAAAAGTGAACCAGAAAAAAATGAGTCAGAAATACAAGGGACAGCCTGCTTGGCATTAGACTTAGGGCCATAAAATAGATGATTTCTGGGATTGGGGAGGGATGTAAGAAATCATTTTTTCACTTTGACTATATGGACAGGATTTAACTTCACCTTTGAAATTGGACCTAGGTTGCATGAGGGAGACTAGGAGCAAGATTTATGTAAGAAATTATAGATATAGGTTCCAGGGAGGAATTAGTTACCAGCACAAAGATATTAGAGACACACGAGTAGTTGAACCTGACTTGAACCCAGACAATAAAAAACATAGTTTTCTCAGTAAATTAAGGGGCTGATAAGCACACTTAAATGTTAGGAGCTAGTACCTGCATAGTTTATAGCTAGATATTTTTTACTTAAAAGTAAAATAGTTAACACATATTTTAAGTACCCATAATTTAACAAGTCCCATGCTTGACTATGTATTTAGAAAGAAGAAAAACATTTGGCTTTGAAGGAAATTCAAAGTCAAATGAGGGAGGAAAATTTATGTAGGAACAAGTATTTCCATAGGATATTTACCAAATACAGGGTTAAAGTAGGAAGCAGTGTCCTATGTTTTCAGAAGAATGAAAGCAGAGTGGAGGGTCTAGATACTTTGGGTAATTTGAATGAATCATCCCTACAAAAAGGTTGAAGAAATGCCTCCTCCTTCAATATACCTGGTAGAGTTAAAAAAAAAAAAAAGAAAAACAAAAAATAATGAAAGATTATACAGTGTCCATTTTCTAGAGAAAAATAATCATTTCCCTTTTTCTCTTTTTCCTTTCTTTTCTTCCTTTTTAGTAGGGCTGGGTTTGAACTCAGGGCTTTGTACTTGCAAAGCAGGGACTCCACCTTTTGAGCCACACTTCCAGCCCTATCATTTCCAATTAATTTTCTAAGTGGAGGTGTCCTAAGGCTTTTGGGGTGCCCCTGAAATTTCTGTCAGTTGATCAAAATTTTATACTATTCTGAGATACAAGACCAAATAAAAGCCTTTACTGACAAACCCAGTCTCAATCTAGTCTTTCTTTTATTTTTAATTTTCAATCATTTATATTTTAATACTGAGAGCCATTTTAGAAATATTTTTAAATGTTTTATGTATACCTTGCTTAATTATAATGTAAGACATTTTTGACCTGTTAGATCTCACACAGGGCTGTACATGCAGTATGAATTTAATAATTTCTTTTTGAATGAAAATTTGCCAGTAATTCTCTTGGACGCTGAATTAGTCAGCTTTTACTATGGGAACAAACAACTCCAAAATCCTTAAGACTTAAGTGTAGATCCCAATTTTGTTGGCAACATCCAAAGCCTACTTACTAATCAGGAGCCAAATAAACATATGTCTTCTTCTTTCTATCAGGCCTGATTAGGATATGGATCTTGACCACATCAGTGTTATAGAGCTTCTTCACAGCCTGTTTGATCAGGTGTTTGTTGGCTTTGACATGTACAATGAACACAGTGTTTTGTCTTCTTTGTTCTTCAAGGTAGAGTCGGTGGTCAGAAGAACTTGATGATGGTATATTGGCCAAGCTTGTTTCTCCTAGGGATGCTCTTCTGAGGATATTTGTGCTGCCTCCAGAGCTGCATTGTCTTGGCCCACTGGAAGGTGGGTGACATGCGGATCTTTTTTTATGGCTGTGGACACTTTTCAGTACTGCTCTCTTAGCCTTTAAAACCTTTGCTTTGGTTTCAGCTTTGGAAAGGACAGGAGCTTTCTTCTCCACTTTAGGCACCACCTTGGTGAAAAGGTCCCAGATGTTTTTGATATAAAACAAAATATTAAAGGAATTTTTTTCTTAGTGAAGTTTTAAGTATAAAATGAAAGAATCTGGTGTGGAGAAGAGCTTCCAAGGGCCTGGTAGTGAGAGAGATTTAATTAAGACTTAAGTTAATAAAAGTAATATCAGCATTATAAGGTAGGGAATAGCAAGTTTTCTAGTTGAAAACTTGAATGTGGAGTCAGTCTAGTGTAGGTTTAAGTTCTGGATCCACTGCTTCCTAGCTGCATATTCTTGAGGAAGTCACATTTCACATCTCTAAAATAAGGGTGTCAATAATTAACCCATTGCTTTTCAACTATAAATCTGTCTTTCATTATCCTGTTTGTGATCCTGGAAATTTCCTCCTTGCCAGTTTTTATTCAGCATTGTCAGTAGAGGGACTAGAGGAACACTGAAGAAGGAAGAGATGTTTTGTCTTGATGCTGGTGTGCTCTTCACTGTTTGCTCCCTTTCTCCCTCCCCTTTCCTTTTACCCTTTCTTTCTCTATCCTTTCCTGCCCTTGCTTGACAGTGTCTCACTAGGTAGACCAAGCTGGCCTCAAATTTGATATCCTCCTGCTTCAACTTCCCACATGCTGTACCTTAACAGGCAGGCACCACCATTCCTGCCCTTTAGAGGGTGACTTTCTAGTGAACTCTGCTGGTTTAAAACCTTGTTAAATTTCTCAGACATCCATTCTATACCCTCTATAAGATCTAGAGCTCAGCCTTGGTAGGAGTGGCCCGTTTATAGATAAGTCCTTTTTTTTCTCCTCCCCCCTCCCCTTCCCTCCCCTCCCCTCTTATCTCCTCTCCTCTCCTTCCCTTTCCTTTTCCTCCCCTCCCCTCCCCTCTTGTCTCCTCTCCTCTCCTTCCCTTTCCTTTTCCTCCCCCTTCTCTCCCTCCCTCCCTCTCTCCTTTCTTCCTTCTTCCTTCCTTCTTTTCTTTTCTCTCTTGGTTAATCTCTCTCTCTCCATCTCTCTCTCTCTCTCTCTCTCTCTCTCTCTGTCTGTCTCCCCCCCCCCTTTTCTCCTTCTCCTTATTTCTTCTCTCTTCTCTCTCTCTCCTTTTTTTCTTGATGATATTAGGAGTTGAATTCAGGGCCTTATACTTCCATCCATCTATTACTTGGGGCACCCCACCAGCCTTTTGGCATTGGTTATTTTTGAGATAGGGTCTCATTTTATGCCCAGGCCTGCCTGGACTGCAATCCTGTTTTTGCTTTTCTTTGTAATGGAGATGATATGAATGCAGTGGTGCACCCAGCCATTGGTTGAAAGATCGGGGAGGCTCTCAAACTTTTTGCTGAGGCTGATCTCAAACCTTGATCTTCTTGATCTCTGCTTCTGGAATAGCTAAGAGTAGGGGCTTGAGCCATGGTGCCTGACCTGTATTAGATCCTTTCTTGATGCTTTGTGTCAGCCCTAGAAGTAGTGGCTGCTTTTTTTTTTTTATTGTTTTATTATTCATATGTGCATACAATGCTTGGGTCATTTCTCCCCCCTACACCACCCCCTCCCTTACCACCCACTCCGGCCCCTCCCTCTCCCCTCCACCCCCTCAATACCCGGCAGAGACTATTTTGCCCTTATCTCTAGTTTTGTTGAAGAGAGAGTATAAGCAATAATAGGAAGGAACAAGGGTTTTTGCTAGTTGAGATAAGGATAGCTATACAGGGAGTTGACTCACATTAATTTCCTGTGCTTGTGTGTTACCTTCTAGGTTAATTCTTTTTGATCTAACCTTTTCTGTAGTTCCTGGTCCCCTTTTCCTATTGGCCTCAGTTGCTTTTAAGGTATCTGCTTTAGTTTTTCTGCATTGAGGGCAACAAATGCTAGCTAGTTTTTTAGGTGTCTTACCTATCCTCACCCCTCCCTTGTGTGCTCTCGCTTTTATCATGTGCTCAAAGTCCAATCCCCTTGTCGTGTTTGCCCTTGATCTAATGTCCACATATGAGGGAGAACATACGATTTTTGGTCTTTTGGGCCAGGCTAACCTCACTCAGAATGGTGTTCTCCAATTCCATCCATTTACCAGTGAATGATAACATTTCGTTCTTCTTTATGGCTGCATAAAATTCCATTGTGTATAGATACCACATTTTCTTGATCCATTCATCTTGGCTGTTTCCATAACTTGGCTATTGTGAATAGTGCTGCAATAAGCATGGGTGTGCAGGTGCCTCTGCAGTAACCTGTGTCACAGTCTTTTGGGTATATCCCCAAGAGTGGTATTGCTGGGTCAAATGGTAGATCAATGTTTGTGGCTGCTTTCTTTATCTGTTATCTCTTTACTCCTGAGTGGTTAGTAACCTGTTGTAATAAATAATGTTTTATATTAAGTTTTCTCTGTTCAAATTATCATATGGTAGGTCTTATAATTTTACTTTGACTTATATTGAGTTTATGGATACTTTTATCATAAATTGTTCTGAGAGTTAAATAGGACATGTATGCATAGTTTTAAAATTTGTGTTTGCCATAGAACAAGTACTTACTAGTTGTTTATTGGTGCTGTCAATATCATCATCATCATCACCACCACTAGCTAGGACTGACATTTCTACTGTTTGTCCACAGGATGTTTCGTCTTAACGCGCTTTCAGCATTGGCAGAACTGGCTGTGGGCTCCCGATGGTACCATGGAGCATCACAGCCTATCCAAACCAAGCGAAGACTAATGATGGTGGCTTTCCTGGGAGCATCTGCAGTAACTGCAAGTACTGGTCTCTTGTGGAAGAGGTGAGTGCTTTATGACCATCTTGTTCCTACATGTACTTTTATTTTTCCACCTGTCTCTGATGTCAGGAAGAAGTTGATTTCTGGTTAATTTTATATCAGAATTTCTTGCTCAATGCCTGTGGCATTAATAATGTCACACACTGTTTCCTTATTATTATCCTGGGATAGTAATAGTGCCTGCCTTATAGTAGTGTTACGAAGATTAAATGAGTTATTAGTTCTTAAGTTTAGAATAGGGTCTGGCATATAGCTTTGTAAAATAATTAAGTCTTTTGTAGAAACAAACAACAAATGCTGGCAAGGATGCTGGGGGATGGGGAGGAAGGAACGCCTATCAGCTGTTGGTGGGAATGTAAATTAATACAACCACTATGGAAAGCAGTATGGAGGGTCCTCAAAAAGCTAAAAATTGACCTGCCATATGATTCAGAGGACCAAAGGAATGTAAGCCAGGTTACAGTAGAGCTACTTGCACGCCCATGTTTATTGCAGCACTATTCATAATAGCCAAGCTTTGGAAATAGCCCAGATGCCCTACAACTGATGAATGGATTAAGAAAATATGGTATATATACACAATCGAGTACTATTCAGCCATAAAGAAGAATGAAATATGTTGTTTGCAGATAAATGGATGCAACTGGAGATAATCATGTTAAGTGATATAAGCCAGGCTCAGAGGGACAAAGGTCACATGTTTTTCCTAACATATGGAAGCTAGACCTATAAGATAAATGTATACACAAATACATATATGATCTTATATACATATACATACATAAAGAGAGAGAGAAAAAACATGGTTATAATCGTGGGTTTGTCTAAGGGGACTATGGAGAGGCAGGAGAGGAAGAGAGAAAGATTGAGAATGAATAATATTGAAACACAATGTATCTGTATATGAAGATAGTATAACATAATGCCCTGTAAGCTGTTGAATAATAGGGGAGCAGGGAGATAGAGGAAGAGCAAGTAACTGAGGGGTTAATCTGATTAAAGTATGATATATACACCTGTGAAATACTAAGGTGAAACCCCTTGAGCAGTCAGTTCATACTTTAACAAATGAAGGACAGGAAGGTAAAACAGGTTCTGTCTGTGGGTGGGTGCCTGTGGAGGGAAGGGTAAACAGAGAAGGTGAAGGAGAGCAAATAAGGTTGATATACTTGTATGAAAGTTGAGCAATGAGACCTGTTGCAATTGTTCTAAAAAAGCTGGTAGGGGTGAGGGAGAATGATAGAGACGGGGAGAGTCTAATTAAGATATATTATAAGCTCATAAGTAAATATCACTATATCTCCTCTGTACAACTATTACATGCTAAGAAAAAAAGAAATATTACCCCCAGAAAAAGAAATAAGAAGTAATTTAGAATGTTACGTAAGAGAAACAAGTCAACATTTCTTATTGGCACAATATTTGTGATTTTTAAATCTAAAACTTCCAAAGACAAAAAAATCTACATACTGACAGCATATCTGCATGTAAGAACTTTCCTAATGGATATGCTTTTGTCATAGATTCTAACTTTGTGCACATTTAATGCCATAAAGTTAAATAATTAGTCATATTCCTCTGTTGTGCCAAATAGAAGTTATAATGAGTTGAACTATAATTATTCTCAAATTTTGAAATAATGTTGAAACTTTTAAAATCTTTTCTTCTGTTGTTTTTTTGAATTGTTAAATGAACACAAATGAAATATTTTCCTAGAAATGAGATTTAAAATTCATTTAAAAATGGTATGCTATAATTTTTAATTTTTAAAATGTATAATTTAAATTACAAAAGAGCAATATGTTTATCAGGTGTGGTACCTCACAACTGTTAGTCCCAGCTATTCAGGAGGCAGAGAAATGGGGATCAAGGTTTGAGGTCAGCCCAGACAAGTTAACATTTATCTTGCCTTTATCTCAAAAAAAAAAGCTGGGTGTGTTAATGCACACCTGTGGTCCCAGCTACTTGGAAGGCAGAGGTAAGGATCCAAGTCAAAGGTTGGCTCAGAAAAAAGCGTGAGACCCTATCTGAAAACTGCAAAAGCAGAAAGACTGGGACTGTGGCTCAAGTGGTGGAGAGCCTGCCTACCAAGCTCCAGGCCCTGTGTTCAGTCCCCAGTGCTCAAAAAACAAGCAAACCTCCAAAACCAAGAAACACATTTTACCTAAAAATGTCTAAGGTAGAAGTAACAAAAAATCTCTTCCATTTTCAACCTTATTCCTTAACAAAAAAAGTGTATTGAGTGTGTGTTTGTGTGCTGTTATTTCAAATACACAAATAAATAACAAAGTATACAATTTGGAGTGTTTGCAGGCAACAATTAATGTATTTTGGGTTAAACAATGGGTAAAAGTCTGGGTAAACTAAGTTTTTAAGTCTCTGACATGAATTAGCATAAATAATGATCCTTAGAAGTCAGGTTACTGTCAGGAAGTAATATTTGCCACATTATTACTTTGTTTTTACTCCCTCAATCTCAAAAATGATACTTTGCAATGTAGTGTGACAGATTTAAGATTTGCAATCCAAATACCTGGATTCAGTCCTAGCTGTATTAACTTGGCAAAATATCTTAATCTGGAAGTTGGGAATTTCCTGTTTCCAAAACAAAAGTTTTAATATTTCAGTAAACTAATAATCTTGATAATTAGTCTGCTATCTTTTTTCCTTTTATTATACAAAGAGAGTTAACCATCTTTTTACACAATCGGCTTTTTATTTATTTATTTATTTATTTATTGTGGTACTGGGGCTTTAACTCAGGGCCTGCACCTTGAACCACTCCACCAGCCCTTTTTTGTGATGGGTTTTTTCGAGAGAGGGTCTCATGACCTATTTGCCTGGGCAGGTTTCGAACCTCAGTCCTCCTGATCTTGGCCTCATGAGGAGCTAGGCTTACAGGCATAAGCACCAGTGCTCAGCTACAACCAACTTTTAGATTCATTGATGTTTCTCTATTTCATGTATTTATGCTCTTTTATTATTTCTATCTTGCTGATAGTGGGTTTTGCTCTTTTGCTAGTACTTTAATATGGAATGTTATATAATTGATTTGAGGCTTTCCTTCTTTTCCAATATAGGCATTTTATGCTCTCAGTTTTCCTTTAGACGGTGATTTAGCTATATTTCCCAAAGTGTAATACCTTATGTTCACTTTTACTCAATTCAAATTATTTCTTCGTTTTTCTTGTGGTATTTATTTATATTATGGTCTTTATATTCTCTTAATTAGTAATTTGGAAGTTTATTGCTTAATTTTCAAATACTTGGTTATTTTTCTGATAAGGGCATGATGGTGCATGCCTGTAATCTCAGCTACTTGGGAGGCAGAGATAGGAGGATCATAGTTTGAGGCCAGCCCAGGCAAAAAGTTAGCAAAATCCTATCTAAAAACAAGCTAGGTATAGTGGCACATGGTAATCCCAGCTACTTGGGAGATGGAGGTGGAAGGGTTGTGACTCTGAGTCTGGCCCAGACAAAAGTCTTGAATTGGAGGTTGTACCATCTTTCTCCCTGATTCTGAGGCTTCTGGCTTCCTGGACAAAGTCATTGTTGCCTGTTGCTCCCTAGCTTGAAAGTTCATAAATATAAATTTCTTCTATTGTTTCTGATTCTCTGCAGAACTCTCATTAGTACAAGCTCTAATAAACATTTTAATTTTATTCTATTTCTGGAATTTTCTTACCAGTAGAACAATTCCAACTTTTTCTACTCAGTGGCTTATGGTTGGAGGCTTTCTCTTTCTTAATAGCAGTTGCTACTTAATGACTCAAGCTCTAGTACTGTTGAAAATGCCCCTTTAGTTTGTTTTCCTCTATTCTTTCTTTGAATAAAAAATGTTAAATGTATCTATCTGAAAAATAATCACCTTACCCTGCTTGATTGTCTTTTAGCTCCTACATTCTCAGTGTTGCATCTTATTTCCTCCTATAATTATTTTGCTACAGTCCTTCTCAAAGTCTCTGAAAGTGAAAAGTCTACCAGTGTCAGTGGCAGTGGAGATTTAACTCCCATGACCTTGTAAGTAAGGACTGGCTTAAATTGTAAGTTACACTGTAAACGTTTAGGATTCATGACCCACCTCTGACTCAGATTCTTCTTCCATATCCATGGATACCCTTTACTGGACTTTTGTGGATGAGAGACTATCTTCCTCAGTCTTATAAACCTTCAAATACAGTATTCTAAGCTTTTGCTTCATTTCTCTTGAAGCTTTGTTATTAGGCACATTCCCGTTTTGTATCGTTATGTCTTCTTGAAGAATTGTCCCAATTAGCATTATGAAACTTCTCATTTTGTCTCTGGTAATATCTACTTTGTCTCATATTAATACCACTACTCCAGATTTCTTTCGATTTGGATTTGTAGGTTATATCAGTCTGTGTCTTTGTCTTTAAATTTCTTTCTCAAAACTGCCTGTAGTTGGATTTTGCTTTTTGCTTAAATTAATTGTGATAATTCCTGTCTGTAATTGAGGTGTTTTGACATTTTTGTTTAATGTAATTATTGACATTATTGTGTTTAAATCTACCATCTTAGTATTGGTTTTCTAGTCGTTGGATCTACTCTTTATTTCTTTTACTTACTTTTTTTTTTTTTTTTTGAGACAGTATTTTGCTAGGTGGCCCAGGCTGGCCTTGAACTTGCAATCCTCCTGATTCAGCCTCCCAAGGGCTGGGATTATAGGTATTGTACCACTACGCCAGCTTTTTTACTTTACTTTGATTGTAACTGATTTTATCTTTACTGGTGGGTTGTAAGATATACCTCTTTCTGTCTTCTTTCTTGTCTCTTTTTATCTCTTTTTTATTAACATGTATTAATTATACATATTAATGGGGTTCACTGTGATATTTCCATGCATGCATGCATGCAACATTCTTTATTCATTCTCTCTCTCTCATATCAGTCCCAAGGCCTAATGCTAAGAAAGCCCTGTACTGAGCTTTTTCTTTGTTTCTTTTTCTTTCTTTCTGTCTTCCTCCCTCCCTCCCTTCTTCCCTTCCTTCCTTCCAATTCTGAAAGCAGGATTGACAAGCAGTTTCCATAAAGGGCTAGGTAATGAGTGTTTTAGGAGGTACAGGATGTAAAGTCCTTGTTACCACCACTGTTGTACTGAAACAGCAGCCAAAGTTAATACATGAATGAATGGACATAGCCATGTCTTAGTAAAACTTTATGGGCACTAAGCTGAGGGGAGAGATGATGGGGGCAATGTAACTAATGTACGATAGAAGTCTATTCAGAATTGTTGCTACAACCCCCCCCATAATGAATATATCCTAATAAAAAAACTTTTGGGGCACCAAAATTTGAATTCCATGTAATTTTCACATACTGAAAAATTCTATTCTTTTGATTCCTTTCACCTATTTAAATATAGAAACCATTCTTAGGTCAAGGGTGTATAAAAACACGTGAGAGGCTGGATTTGACTTATGGGCCATGAACTTGTCATAATCTACCTTCAGATAATGTTGTATCACTTCCCATGTATGAAAGAAATTTATAGCAATGTACTTTTATTTCTTTTGTTCTTTGTGCTATTATTGTTATGTGTTTTTACTTGTATATGCATAAACCTCATAACACAGTGTTATGATTGGTTACTTTTGCTTTAAATAGTCAATTATACTTTAAGAAATCCTAAAAAGAGAGAAAGGTTTATTACATTTACTCATACATTTTCCGTTTCTGGTACTCTTCATTCCTTTGTGTTGACCAAAGTTAGTTTTTTTTTTAAACTTAAAAATTTGTACTTATTTGTAGCTAATTTTGTGCAATGCAGTAATGGTGTGAATGTGATAGCTGATGCTGTATCTCTACTTTGGCATGATGCCTTTTTTTTTTTAATGAAAAACTTGAAACTGGAATGCTATAAGAATTTGTTGTGATATATGGTGAGAAATTCTTACTGCTTTATGCTATAAGTCAAGAAAAACTAGACATTCACAAATAAATCATAGTCTGTAATATAGTTAAGCATAATCATATTTCAAAATGTGTTTGAAGGAAACTAACCTTCAACCAATCACACCTTTATTCTTCAGTCTATTTTACTTGACTTCACAAATGGAACTCAGTTCTTAGAATCATCTAGTCCGAAGTTTTATGATTTTAGCATACTAATTTCTTAGATTAACTTTGATCACTTAAAATATAGCTGATTTTTCTGAAAATGTTTATTAAAATATGTAGCAAAAGTCTTTACTATAACTGAAAGTGCACAAATATGTATTGTGTTACCATAATTATTTACAATGTATTTTCAGAAAATTGCCATTCAGATTGCATACAATGATATTTCAATTGATTCTTCATATTCTGCAATTGGAAGATAATTTTGCATGTTTAGCTTTCCATCTATTCTAGGGAAATTTGTGTTGAAATTGTTTTTCAACATAGAAATTGTAATTCTCTATGGGATCTTTTCAGTTTTACAAGCTGATTTTGGAACCAAATCTGCATTCTGCCTTCCCCTCTAGACTCAGATTTTGAGCCAAGTCTTCTCTAATATCAATGCCAGGACAGCAATTTACTCTAACATTTTCCAGCATTTCAGTCTAGCTTTGAGTAAAAACACTTCATCTTTGGCTGTTAGACCAACTCAACTGTCTTTTCAAGTAGTCTTTCTGAGGCTTAAGAAATTAACTTCTTTCATATTTCAAAGCTCTTCTGGCATTGAGTGGTCCACATTGCAAGAGAATGAACCATGTTCTTAAGAAACTTAACTCAATTTAGTACTTGTTGTTTTTTTAAAACTTGCTTCATTAGGCTTTGGTGTTTTTAAAATCAACAATTATTTTTGCTTATAAATCCACATAATTCTTTGCCTTTGTTAGTGTCTAGAAAATACTATTTTCAAGTAAATAAAATAAAAAGTATTGCTTTAAATCTTTGCATAGTCATGTGGAATAAGCATATTAAGAATTTTCTCCTAGGGTGGAAGGCATGGGTTACACCTGTTATCCCAGCTTCTGAGGAGGCAGATAGAGATCAAGAGGATTGTGGCTCAGGGTCAGCACAGGCAAAAAAGTTAGCAAGACCCCCATCTCAATCAATAAGCTGGGCATGATGGCTTTTACCTGTCATACCAGTTACTTGTGGGGAGGCCCTATGTAGGAGGATTAGTGTCCAGGCCTGTCCTGGGCAAAATATGCAACACTTACCTGAAAAATAGCTGAAGCAAAACAGGGCTGGGGGCGTGGCTCAGTTGGCAGAGTACCCACCTAGGTAGCAGGAAGCCTGAGTTTTCCTATTGAAGTACCTTAATCCCAACATACCTTTCTCCACTTCCCTTTCTGGTCAGCATGGTGAGGGCTTCTCTTAATCACATATATTGCATGCTTTCTTTGTTAAGACACTGGGTAACTTAGAAGAAAAATAATACAATGTCTAGTCTCTTGTTAATGATATTATCTATTAGGGTAAACCTTGTGATGTTGCTACTATTTGACAATTTTTAATTTGTAGAAAAAACAATATCATTTGATTCTACCTAATAGTTGAAGAGTAAGATACATTCTAGGAAAATAGGTCACCATACGTATACTAAATTCTTTTCTTTCAGCAGTACTAGAATTTGAACTCAAGGCCTTGTACTTGCTAAGCAACTGCTCTACCACTTGACCCACACTTTCAGTCCTTTTTGTTTTAGTTTATTTTTAGAAAAAGTATCAGACTTTTTGCTCAGACAGGCCTTGGACCGAGATCCTCCACCTCCCAAGTAGATGGAATTTAAGTGTGTACCACCATACCCATCCTGTACCACTAAATTCTATGTTGTGGTTCAAACAGTAAATGGTGTAGGACTTTGAAGGAATAAGTGCATTATATTGGCTAAGGAAATTAAATTGGGTTGGAAAGTCTTCATAGAATAGTTTGGCAGTTTTAATCAGCCAGAGGGGCTTCTACTGAACATTCAGTTTTTGCTTGGTATTGATAATTAAATGGACCTGAAAAGCCCAGCAGGACAGTTGTCTTCATGCAGAATTGTGTGTGTATTAGATTGCCTGTTTTTTATTCTTTAGGTTTCCCATTTCCTTATGTCCTCCTTTATTATTGTAAGAGACACATAACATAAAATTTATTTTTTTTTCAGGCCTGGGATATTTTTAATAAATGAAAACACTTGGCTTTCTATGAGTTACGATTTTAAAAAATCAGCTGTTGAGTCAAACCTGTAAAAATGTAAATCAAAACTATAACCTCATAAGCACATAGCTTTCACAGAAAAAATTTTCCATCTTAATCATTTTTATTTCAGTCACATTAAGTATATTCACATTGTTGTGAAACAGGTCTCCAGAACCTCTTCATCTTGCAAAAAATGAAATGATATGCCCACCAAAACCCAACTTTCCTGGCCCTCTCCATCCATCTCCAGAACTTTGTTAACCTCCCCAAAGCAGAACTCCTTACCCATTAAGCAATACCTTCCCGTGGCTCATCTTCCCAGGCCTGGCAACCACCATTCTACTTTCTGTTTCTATGAATTTGACTACTCTGGGTAATTCATATAAGCGGAATCATATGGTACTTGTCTTTTTCTTACTTATTTTACGTGGCATCCTCACATCCTCAGCACTCATCCTTGTAGCTTGTGACAAGTTTCCCTTTCTTTTTAAAACTGAATAGAATAGTATTCCATTTTATGTGTATACCGCAGTTTGTTTATCAGTTCATCTAATGGACACTTGGGTTGCTTCCATGTTTTAGCTATTGTGAATGATGATGCTACGAACATAGGTTACAAGTATCTCTTTCAAGACCTCACTTTTAGTTCTTTTGGATATCACTAGAAATGGGATTGTTGGGTCACATAGTTGTGTTTTTAGTTTTTAGTTTTAGTTTTTGTTTTTTGGCAGCACTGGAGTTTGAACTCAGGGTTCACATATGCTAGGTAGACACTGTTAATGCTTGAGCTACTTTACCAGCCCTGTTTTTAGTTTTTGAGAAACTTCTTGTAACAGGTTTTACAAATTTCATTGCTGTTGCTCATACTAAGTTGTACCTGTGAGTGCTTGTTCGGCTAATATGATGGACTTTATGATTAATATAGATTTCTATTTTGCATATTTAGGGCCCATGCAGAATCTCCACCATGTGTAAACAACCTAAAGACTGACGTTGGTGATAAAGGAAAGAACAAAGATGAAGGGGAAGTTTGTGACCATGAAAAAAAGGCTGAAGATACTGGAGTTGAGCCTTGTACAGAAGAGAAAAAGAAGAAACGTTCTGGATTTAGGGACAGAAAAGTATGGAACAGAATCTTACAAGTTAACCCAAACTATATACTAAAGTAGAGTAATACAGTTCAATCTCCTTTATTATGTATTTCACATGATTCATATTTCCTTCTAAGTTATTCACCTCTTTGCTATTTTCCACCAGGTCTCAAGCTAAAGGTACTCTCAAATGTGAAGTCAATGGGAATAGTTAAACAAATCTTGAGTTGGTAACAAGGATTAGTATATTCTTCCTTAGGTCTTTCAATTCAAATACTAAGGTGATTCTTGCTTTCTGGATCTTCTCAGTGCTTAATGTTTACATATATATTGAGTCTTCGTGGAATTTCTGATTAAAAGTTGTATAAAGAAAGTTAGATATTTTTGGAAATGTGATTTTGAGAATACCAAGTAACAGCATAAACTTGGAATGAGTGTCATGTTGCATGTAATTAACACAACCTGCTGTTTTGTAGCTTTTCCTGGGAGGAAAGCTACAAACTCCCTCAGAGGAGTTTCAGTTCTACTGTAATAATGCCTATAATAATAGGCATTTGAGTTTAGTAGTCATGAGTGATGAACAGTCAAAAAGATGAATTTTTTAGATGTTTATCTTGTTAAGATTAAAATTCAGAGCCAGGCACCAGTGGCTCACACCTGTAATTCTAGCTACTTGGGAGGCTGAGATCAAGAGGATTGCGATTTGAGGCCAGCCCAGGCAAACAGTTCATAAGAGCCTATCTCCAAAATAACCAGACCAAAATGGACTGCAGGTTTTCCCAAGTGGTAAAGTACCTGCTTTTCAAGTTCAAGCTCTAAGTTCAAACCCCAGTCCCACAAAAAAAAAAAAAAAAAAAAAAAAAAAGATTAAAATTCAGGGAGTTGCCTTCAATCGATGAACTATAACTGATACTGTAACATGATGAGTTATTTCTGTATTGTGTATTATGTTGTATGTATTTGCAAGAATTCCTTTGGGAAATTTAAATCTTCTTTTTGGTTTTAGATGAACCAATAACTTCATTTAGATGAAGTTATTAAATATGTCTTTTCAACTCCTAAATCCATTTCTGATTGATTTATTTGAATTTGAACAAAAGCTATGTACCACAAGTAAATCATGAAGTGTCCTACTTTTGTGCTCTGAGTGAATTCAAAGAAAGCTCAACTTTACTTTGTGCTAGCAGTTTCATTTATAGTCATACTTTCCATCTTACAAAGTAAAGTTAAAATGACTCAAATTAATTTATTTTTTTATCCTGCGTCTACTTTTACTCCTGTCTTCTCCGTAGCAGATGATAATGTTTCATGCTTCACAGAAAAATTATCAGTGTGATTTATTTAATTTCTAACCTTTAAAACTATAAAATCTATCTAATCTATGTCTTAAATAATTATTTATTTTACTAAAGTCTCAGAAGAAGAGCGATCTTTTCCCTATTCAAAGATAATCCTTGCATTTGTCATTATGTCTCTTATTTTCCTCACTCTTTGCCTATTCATTCTTTTACATAACCTACATATAAACATGTTATGGATTCTTCTGTCAATAACTTTAAAAGTCCTAAGCTGCATTTTAAAATCATACATTTATTTTAAAACTCTAGTATCCTTTGAGTTCAAGAGTTTGATCCATTTTGCCAAGAGAATGCACCTCTTAAAAGCTCTTTATATGTGTTTGATGAGTGAATTGAAATGTCCTTATTTTTAAGCAGATGGAATCTTACTTTAAAGAAGTTCTTCTGTATTTGGCCAAAATCTTTCATGCAATTTTTATCCATGATTTTATTTCTGCTATTCAGCATCACATAAAATGTCTGAATTTTTTTTTTAAATAATTTTTACTGAAAAATAAAACATAGATTTAGGAAACCACAAAATGGCTTTCTTTAGTGATCATTTCCTTTCATTTTTTGGAGGAGAATGTGTATTATTTTTATGTAGAAAAAGCTCCACAGTATATACTTCACCCACAAGTTCTTTAGCCTTTGCCTTTTTCAGCTTGGCGATATGAGCCATGGATTTTGGACCCAGGACATTATCTCCCCTATGACAGCAGAACTTATCATATCTGTCATTATAATTAGTACTGAGAATATCTACCAGCTTAGCAAGAGTACCATTTTCTTCAGAGTTAACCTGTATGGAGGTAAATGGTGGTACAGATCTTCCTGTGGGCCAGTTGTTCCAGCCTAGCCTGCCCCTTGATAAATCATTAGGTAACCCCATCTCATGCATGACACAGATCAGCAGGAAGAAATCCAACTCAGTGGGATTCATATCATGTGCAGTCACCATCAACTAAACCTTCTAGGTGGTAACAGTATTAACCCCTTTCAAGGACAGGTGATCTCCTAGTGGAGACATCCCTTTTACCAGCAGCTTTCTTCTCAGCCCAAGTCAACAGTCTCTGCGTCTTTTCTTGCTGCATCTCTGGTCTGTACTTGTGGACCAGCTTAAGCAGTTGTGTAGCTGTTTGGCAGTCTAAGGCTTAGGTAAACTGGTCAATCACAGGAGACACTTTTGGCCACTTATACAGGAGAACCCTCTGCTTCGCAGCAAGGTATAGTGGGATCATTTGACAAAGTGAGCCCCTTTGGGGCTGGATGTCCTGTCCAGTAACCAAAATTATTAAATCTATTTTCAAACAAGGGATTTATCACCTTGACTTCTTCACCACAGCAAGATTAGGGCCACTTTCTTTCCTTTCAGCATCTTGGGCATCCAAATGTTCATCCCTAGACATATAATTTAATCGTACCTGTTTTGATGTTATATCACACACACCCTTTTTTGGTGCAGAGTATTGAGCTCAGGGTCTCATGCATCGCAGGCATACTAAGCACATACTCTACCATTGTGCTATACCCCCAAGTCTAATGATACGTCTTTTAATTCTCTTAAATTACAAGTGATTGAAGCTAGGCCATTTAATCTTTAAAGTTTCCTATGGTCTAAATTTTACTGATACTGCTTCTTAGTACAATTCAGTATATTCTTCTGTTCTCTGTATTATTTGAATATTAGCAACTGGATTCTGAGGCTTGATCAGACTCAGGTTTGAGGGGCTGAGGATGTAGTACAGTGATAGCGTACTTGCCTAGCATGCCCAAGGCCCTGTGTTCAATTCCCAGCACACACACACACAAAATTCAACTGGACAGTCTCAGGTTTGATCCCTGTGGCAAGACTAGAGGTGGTATTATTTTTTGTTATCAGGAAACACCTAATGTCTAGTTACTTTTCTTTTTGTGATATTAGCTGTGGGTGTTTAATGTTAATTAAATTGTTAATTCATTGTAGTTGCAAAATGGTGGCATTCTAATATCAAATCTTTTTTTGTTTATTAGACTATTTGATAAAGAGACACATCCCTCTGTTACTTGCTTATAAATACCACCTGGCTAACCTGGCTATTTTTTGGTGCAGTTTACATAGGAAATATAAGGTCTGAATTGACCCAGTTAAGTTCAGCAATTTTATTGAAGACAGGTATCTTAACATCAAGTGGGAGGGTGAACAAGAGTAAATAGAGTGGGTGAATATGATCAAAGTACGTTATGTGTATATATGGAAATATCACGATGAAATCCCTTTGTACAATTAATATATGCTAATTTCAAAAAGTAAATAAAAATGCTCAAGAAAGTTTGAAAAAGTAAATAATTAAATAAACTATTATAATTCTCTTGGTAAATATTTTTTTCTCTCTTTTTGGGGGGTGGGGCAGTAATGGGGCTTGAACTCAGGGTCTTGCGCTCTAACTGCCTAAATCACACCTCCAGCTAAATCTTTTCTCTTAACATCCTCAAATCCTTCAACAATCTATCTCTGCTTTCAAGCCTTCATTATCATGGATGGAGTATCCTGAACTCTTTTATGTCATAGTTTGTTAGTCTTCCACTTAAGTCATTTAAAGGGAAGTAGTTCCATCTCAGTTGATATGGAATGTTCTTAAGTTACAATGCTAAGTAAAATAAAAAATCAAATTTATACTATTTATATATATATATTAAATTCTACCAATATGGGAGTATATTAAATCTATTTCTTTTCTTGAACTGTTGCTTCAAAATAAAACTTCATAGGCACATAAAACCATTGGTTTATATTAATGATGTAGCATAAGGTACATACAGTGGCCCTAATTGTCAAATTAATAATATTTAGCAATAGAATTTAGTGACTCTTGTAACAATCAAATAATTTGATTTTTTCAGTCTTAAAATCCTTGACTTTTATGGCGGGGAGCACTGGGGTTTGAACTCAGGGCCTCATGCTTGCTAGGCAGACCTTCTACCACTTGGGCTACTCCATGAGCCCATTGACACAACTTTTTAAAAGCTGTCTTGACAGTAGTTACAACTTATATACATATCTAAACATTCTAAACTTTCTTTTTTGTTGTTGCTCACGGAAAGAACAAGAATACAGATGGCTTCAAGAAAGGCATTTCTTCTATAGCCAGTATTACTCAGCAGACAGCTATAGTCTGTATAAAATGTCTTTAATATAAGACTCATAGCCAAGTCTAAGACTTCTTAGTGGTGGAAAATCTTGCTGTGTTTACCATGTGCATCAATCTTTTGACTAAGTCTCTCTGAAATCTACTTAATTTTAGTGCATGTTAGAATTGAATTATTGTCATATAGAATTACAAATTGTCATTCCTTTCTCAGTTATTAAAAGCACATCTGGTAGTGGAATCAAGGTGATGGTTAAAACAGCTACTGCCAATGACTTCAAGTGACATCTAGCCAGGACTGACAGTTACATAATTGCTGTGTTAATGTCCAAATTTAAAACATCAGTAATGTTTTTCTTAATGTTAAATGATCTACTTTATAGTAGCACCTAGGCAGGTGCTTTACCACTTGAGACACTCCACCAGCCTTTTTTGCTGTGGTTATTTTTGAGATGGGGTCTCGCTTTATGCTGATCTGGACCACGATCCTCCTATTTATGCTTCCCTGTGTGGATACATGCCACTGTGACTAGCCATTGGTTGAGATAGGGTCTCACAAACTTTTAGCCTGGGCTGGATCCTCCCAATCTCTGCTTCCCAAGTAGCTAGGATTATAGGCTTGAACCACCGTGCCAAGCCCCAACTCTGCCTCTTTCTAAATATGCTATATGTAGTCAACAGCCATACCACCCTGAATGTGCCAATCTCTTCTAAATACGCCATATGTAAAAAGGATAGCTGGCACAGTCTGTTTAAGTCTATAGTCAAAAGTAAGTCTACTAAACAATGTATGCACATGTGAATAAATGAATAATAGAAACATTTTTTAAAAGTCTATTACCTCAGACCTGTTAATAACTGAGTGTCCATAATATATAATTTTCTTTTCCTTTTTCTTTGAAAACCTGTTAACTATTCAAACCTATGAAATCTTCAGTGTGTTTTCTTTTAGGATCCTGGAAATTACAATGAAGTAAGAACTATAAAGTTAGTCCACATATCTTTTTTTTCTTTTAAAATGTTTGAGGCAGGGTCCCATAATGCAACTCAATCTGACCTGGAACTCACTGTTGTAGCCCAGACTGGCTTTAAGCTTGAGATGTTCCTGCCTCCACCTCCTAAGTACTAGAATTCCAAACATGTACCACCATGCAAGCAAGTTAATCCCTTTTTTAAAATTCGGTATTTAAGAGCCTAGAGGCCACTATATATGGCATTGCCCTCTGTTACTGAAACATTTTGAATTCTCTTAACATCTTTCACTTTTGCTAGCTTTCAATTCTTTAAGAAATTAGAAAATTCTTCAAAAAGTTGTTAAAAAAAGTTACATAAGCATTACTTCAACTGGAGTATGAATGATATTGCAAGAAAGGAATTGAAGTTTTTTTAAACCAAGTTTATTTGTAGTATAAACATCTAATTATAGAAAAGGAGATTTAATAAAAATTCCTCCAAAATAGGAGGAGAAATATATATAAGAATTGGTGATTAGATATTATGAACATTCTTAATTTAGTAACACCCTCTAAATTTCTAATTTTAGGTGATGGAATATGAGAATAGGATTCGAGCCTACTCCACGCCAGACAAAATCTTCCGGTATTTTGCCACCTTGAAAGTAATCAATGAGCCTGGTGAAACAGAAGTGTTTATGACTCCTCAAGATTTTGTGCGATCCATAACACCCAATGAAAAACAACCAGAACGTAAGGTGCTAAAGTGAAAAATAAGATTGAGATTTATTTTGTTGTAGGCTGTTTTTATTTTATCTATATATTTCCTAAATTTTATAGGTCCATGCAATAATTATGTTTACTGTGCAATTAACTACTGGATGTCAGGCATTGTACTAGGTGTTAGGCACATAAAAGAGGGGAGAGTACGTTCAGTGTAGCAAGGCTTAGGGGTTGAGGACATTGTGTCCCTGCAGCTGAGGTTCATTGTCTATAATGAGAATATATTATCTATGCATTATACACATGACTGCTATCAAGTTCTTTTTTAGTGAAGGAAATAAAGACAAAATAAGTAATTTCAGGAATATGGAATTTTAGCATGTATTAATTGTACAAAATGGTGGATTTCATAATGACATTTTCATCCATACATGCAATGTACTTTGATCATATTCATCCCTTTATCACCCTCTCTTCCCCCTCCCCAACTTCTTTTGGTCCCCCTTCAAATTGTCCTCCTTATGCTTTCATATCCTTTTTTGTTTTGTTTTTTAAATCTAAGTTCTACCTATGAGAGAAAACATGATACTTGTTTTTCTGAATGTGTATTTCACTTAACATGATAATCTCTGGTTCTATCCATGTTCCTGCAAATGACATAATTTCTTTTTTTGTGTGTGTGTGGTTCTAGGGGATAAATTCAGCCTTGCTAAGCCAGCTACCACTTGAGCCACTCCACCAGCTCTTTTTGCTTTGGTTATTTTTGACATAGGGTCAAAAAAATGTCCTATGTGGCTTTATGCCTGGACTGGCCTGGACTATGATCTTCCTATTTATGGTTCCCATGTAGTTGGGATGACAGGCATGTGCTAAACATGCTCAACTTGTATTAGTTGTGATGGGGTCTTTTGCCCAAGCTGGCCCCAAACTGTGATCCTTCCGAACTCCAGCTTTGAAGTAGCTAGGATTATAGGCTTGAGTCACCGCACTCAGCCTCATAATTTTATTCTTTATGGCTGAATGATACTCTATGGTAAATATATATACCACACTTTCTTTATCCATGTACCTGTTGAGTAGGCATGTAGGCTGACTCCATAACTTGGCTTTTGTGAATAATGCCACAATAAACATGGGTATGCTAATATCTCTATTGTGTATTAACTTTGATTTCTTTAGGTATATGCCCAGGAATGGTATATCTGGGTCATACTGTAGTTCTATTTTTAGTTTTTTGAGGAACCTCCATGCTGATTTCCATAGTGGCTACACTAATTTATATTCCCACTGACAGTGTATGAGGGTTTCTTTTCCCCACACCCTGCAGCATTTCTTGTTTTTCATTTTCTTGATAATAGCCATTCTGATTTGGGTGAAATGCAATCTCAATGCAGTTTTGATTTGCATTTCCTTTGTGGATAAGGATATTGAACTTTTTTTGTGTACTTATTGGACATTTGTACTTCTTTTGGGAACTATTCATTCAGTTCATTTGCCTGTTTATTGATTGGATTGTTTGTTCTTTGGGTGTTTAATTTTTTGAACTCAGGGCCTCATGCTTGCTATACCCCCCCAGTCCATGGATGTTTGATTATTTTAGTTCTTTATAAAATTATGGGTATTAATTCCTTGTCAGATGAATAGCTGGCAAAGATTTTCTCCAATTCTGTAGGCTATCTCTTCACTCTGGTAATTGTTTCATACGATGTACAGGAGCCTTTTAATTTGATTCAATCCCATTTGTCAATTCTTGCTCTTATTTACTGAGCTATTGCAGTTCTATTCAGAAAGTCATTGCCTATGCCTATATCCTTAAGTGTTTTTCTGCAGTAATTTTAAAGCTTCAGGTCTTAAATTAAGGTCTTTGATCCAAACAGAGTGAGAGACAGAGATCTAGTTTCAGTCTTCTACATATGGATATCTAGTTTTCCCAACTCCATTTGTTGAAGAAACTATCTTTTCTCCAACATATATTTTTGGTACCTTTGTAGAGAATCTGATGTCTCTAGCTACATGGACTTATTTCTGGGTCCTCTATTTTATTTCATTGGTCTATGTCTCAGTACCATGCTGTTTTTGTTTGGATCTGTGTGATTTGAAATCAGATATTGTGATACCTTCAGCATTGCTCTTTCTGCTCATGATTGCTTTGGCTACTCAGGGCCTTTTGTGCTTCCCTGTGAATTGTAGGATTGTTTTTTTGTTTTTATGAAGAATGTCATTAGAATTTTGAAGTGGACTGCATTGACTCAGAGATCACTTTTGATGTAGCCATTTTCATAATATTAATTGTGTGAAAACATGAACATGGGAGGTCTTTCCATTGTCTAGTGTCTTTACATTCTTTCTTTAGTGTTTTATCATTTTTCATTGTAGAGGTTTTTCACCTATTTGGTTAGATTTATCCCTAGGTATTTTTCTAATGCTATTTCAAATGGAACTATTTTCTTGATTTCTTTCTCAACATGTTCTTTATTGGTATATAGAAAAGCTACTGATTTTTGTATATTGACTTTGTGTCTTCTACTTGATAAAGTTGTATCAAATCTAAGAGTTTCCTAGTGGAGTGTTTAGGGTTTTTTGTTTTTGTGGTACTGGGGTTTGAACTCAGGGCCTCACGCTTGCTAGGAAGGCACTCTACCACTTAAGCCTCTCCCCAGCCCAGTATATCTGGACCTGTCTGTCCTTTTATGTCAAGTACTGTTTTTTTTTTTTAATGAAATTGGGTACACCAACATTCAGTATATATATATATTTACAGTTGGTATAATATTGATGGATTTTTCCCATTTATTAATATGTAGTAATCTTCTTTATCTCTTCTGACTAAATTTGGCTTGAAGTTTACTTTATCAGATATGAGTGTAACTATTCCTGCCTACTTTCGGCTTCCACTTCTTGTTATATTATTTTCTATCCTTTCACTTCCAGTCTGTCTATGTCTTTGCCAGCGAGGTGTTTTCCTTACAGAAAACAAACAGTTGGATTTTATTATATTTTTTAATTCAATCAGCAGTCTCTCTCTTTTAATTGGAGAATTAATTTAGAGTTTCTGAGAGGTATTTGCTGATTCCTATAATTTTGCTCGTTTTTTTTTCTTGGTTGATTGGAGTACTGTTTGTTCTTTTCTTTCTCCCTTTTTCATCTTAGGAGTATACTACCTATAGCAAATGGGAGAAGCAGCAGACAGACTGAACATCATGGGAAGGGTGAGCGTGAGGAGGAAGACCTTTTGGGGAGTAGATTTTTGAAGGGTTATCCCATGTCTCCTGAGGAATCTGTAGCATAGCATGATGCTTTGGGCGAGATATGCTCAGAAAAGAATTGAGTGGGCTTGTATCTCTTACTGACCTTTGCACTCCATGCATGCAGGAGGTAAAAGTTAATGCAGAGTTATGTGTGGCCTGAGCCTGAGCCTAGAGCCAGTTTGCAAACACTGGGTGAGGTTTCCCTTGCCTTTGCTTGCCTTTCTTTCCCTTTTCTTCTCTCTTCCTTTCCCTTTTCTTTTCTCCCCATTGTTTTTTGTTCCAGAATTTAAGGAAATCTTTATCAGGCCATTTGATGACTACTTAGGTAATAATTAGAACAGAAACTGCAGGATGACATATGACAAAGAATAAAATCTTTTCAAAAATACTTTGGAAAAGTCACTGAAGAAACTTTTACTACAGTTTTCAACAGCAGCAACATCAAACCCTGAGAAGAGGGGAGAATCTGAATTCCAGGCTTAAAATATTTAAAATACTCAGTTTTTAATAAAAAAATTACACAGCACACCAACAAAGAAAGTTTGACCCATTAGCAGGAACAAAAGAACTTAATAATAACCACCCCTAAGGAAGTTCAGGTAGGAAACCATAGCAGTATACCAGCACATGCATCATAGGAGTTTCAGAAGGAGAAAATAAGGCATTTGCAGAGAAACAAAACCTTAGGTAGTTTGTTGCTAGTAGAACTAGCATTTAGAAAATTCTAAAGAGACTGCTTGTGGCTGAAGTAAAAGGACACTAGATGGTAACTCAAGTCATAAAGCAAATTTTAAAATATTAAACACCACTGAAGGTAACATCATAGATAAATATACAAGCCAATACAAGTTGAACATCCCTAATCTAAAATCTGTATTCCAAATGCTCCAAAATCTGAAACATTTTGCCCAACCTGACACCACAATTGGAAAATTGCACACCTGACTTCATGTGGTAGGTAGCAGTCAAAACATAGATACACTGAAAATGTTGTATAAAATTACCTTCAGGCCATGTGTAAAACATGTACTGGAAGCATAAATGAATTTGTGCCCAAAGTGTACTCTCTTCTCCACTGTGTTGAATGATCTGTTCTGATACACAAACTATGGCTTCTCAGGTAGCCTAGGAAGAATTGAGCCCTGGTGTTCTCTATAGTGCTGATTAGCTCAGTAACACACCCTTCAAATGGCTTTCCTCCCTCCTGTGTTTCACTTTCCCCAGACCACACTGATTCCCTACTTTTTAGGAAGCCTAAGTTGGACATTCATTTTTGAAAGGATGTAGGTCATTTGAATTACAGGATTTCCCACATTCTGCATTTTACTGATTTCATCCCTATGGTGTATTTTAACATGTTCCTCAATCCTTGGTGTTTCACCCACATAGAAAGTACCTAAAAAGAATGGTACCAAAAAGGTCATTCTCTGAATGAACTAATAGGAAAGTATTTTATTCTTCCTTGTATGTTCCTTTATTTTACTTTATTTATGTTTTTGAGACAGGGTCTCATTATGTAGCCCAGGCTGGCCTTGAAATCAAAATACTCCTACTTCATCCTCCCAAATCCAGGGATTATAGACATGTGCCACCAAGCCTGGCTATATTCCTTTATTTTCTAATAGACTTCATATATGTTCATTCAACAAGTATTGATTGATTAACTATCTGCTATAGATTCAGGAATACAATTAATTTCTGCTTTCATAAAATAAACTCTTTTATAATAAGAAAGCAAGAGATATCAAAGCTTCTATTAATTACATTGAACTTTAGATTTAG